TATTGATGACCCTGAACACTGACAACGCTATCAGAGTACATCATCTGGAATAAATAAGATTTGTGCAGGGCTGAGTTAGTTGTAGGGTGTCAGTGGTTGTAAACAATTTTAAAAAAAACAAATCCCCTTAGCTGGTAGACAACAATTCATATGAAGTGCATTGATTTCATAACTAGAGCATAATAATAACCTATTATTTCTAGTACATTTACGCCTCCTTCAACATAAACCATCTCCTTAAGACATTAAGCCTTGCTGTCCTAAAGGTGGCCAAAGAAAAAATTCACAAAAAATAATATTGTTCAAATTTCTTTTCGTAAAATTCTTGGAAATAAATAGTTTTATGCAATAGTTCTGCCAGGAAGGTTTTATTTAAGTGGTAACACCATCAAATTTCATCCACAGATTCAAAAGTTAGAACTACATACTAAATAAATAGTACCATGAGAAAGTACTGCTGAAGAGGTTTCATTTGAATCGTAACACCATAGGATTTCATCCACAGACTCTAAAGTTAAAACTATATACTAAATAAATAGTACCATGAGAAAGTACTGCTGAAGAGGTTTCATTTAAGTGGTAACACCATCAGAATTTCATCCACAGATTTAAAAGTTAGAGTGACAAATAATCTTGCCATAATGTGGTCAAGGAGTGGAAAGGTTAAAGCTTCAACCAAATACAGTGCAGCCTATGGGAGATAAATAAAATAATGTACATGCATCCCATGCTTGCCCTTGGTCCACAACAAGCCTTGGTACAAGGTAGAGAGCTAGTAAGATAACCAGGTTCAGTCAAATCATCCAGGGATGTTTTTTTTTCTTTCACCTGAACTAAGTTGATGCTGTAAACTAAAAACCACAAGGCCAGTGCTATTGTGAAATAATGAATCAATATTCCTTGGGCTCTGCAAAATGTGGTAGGATTCTCATGAGCTTCAGACAAAAATCTGCTGGTACAGAATGCCTTCTCTCTTCCCATTCCATTAGCTACAGCAATAAGGAAAGCTAGATAGACAACAAAGAAATCAAGGCTTTATGTTTACTGTAGCATTGATTCTTAAAATTGTAACCCAGCCCACTTTCAAATACTAGCTGCGAGTGCTAAAATAAACTAACAGAGAACACGCAGAGTTGCTGGCTGGTAGAGTTTAGTGTCGATTAGTGTTTAAAATGGCTAAAATTGACCAAGTTTCACCTTTTTACCCCAACTCTTTTATTGAAAAAAGGAACTTTGCAATGGGAAAACCTACAAGACGTACGAAAAACGAGCCTTTAGGCTGTAAATATCTACTTCAGTTTGATGGTGTCTTACAGAGATTTCCTTCAATAACCCAAGCCAATTCCCAGGTATGTCTTAACGAACTTAAGTTTTTGCTATCCTGAAAACCTATTCATCATTTTTGGATTATTTCAGTACGACGAGCTTTGCTATTACCCTGAAAGTATCTTTAAGCGGAAGAAAAAGAAATATTCTGTCCATGGAAAGTGTCCAAATTTCTCCATGCTGCTTCGTTTGAGAACGTGAGGAAAGTTAATAGGGAGCTTAAGCAACAGCGTTTTTGAGCGACGGACGTCAACCGGAAGTGGACTTTTTGCATCATTGGGGAGTGGTTTGGTTGAAACTCTCGGGTAAATCGTCTTTAAAAAAGAAAAGAAACTCAGCAATACAAGTTTTGTTAGCGTCAAGGCATATAAAAAGGGAGAACGCCTCACTTCCGGTTGACGTGCGTTGCTCAAAAATGCCTTTGCTTAAGGTCCCTAATGTTAGCGAATTTCAGGTTAAAAATTCGGGCAGTCTGAGACTCGGACATTGAAAACCGATTTTCCAATTTTTCTCACAAATAAGACAAGGAAAAACTCCAAGGTCAAGAATGAGGATTCACAGAAAGCTTCAGTATTGACTGGAGGATTTTTTTCTATCTAGAAAGGGGTGACAGGAGCCTACCTACAGTGTGTTAAATAATAACTGAGGTGGTTTGCACTTTAAGATGTAAATTTAAAATAAATGAAATTCAAATCTCACAGTCTTTAGTTCACAAGTTAATAAGAACTGGCTAATAATTATTTTATTGTCTTTACAATAGTGTTCTTTGTTTTGTAATAGAGCACAAAAAGAATGGTGGCACCAAGTTAAGGAAGGTGTCACATGACTTTTTGCATTCTGAACAGTCTGACTGTAGTTACCTGGTAGCATTAGTTCTGTGGCCATATTAGCATTTCCACACAAAGCTCTATAAACTTGGGTGAAACACTGCTTTTAAAAACTCAAACAAATAAGAAAAACTGTACAAACCTGAATTTGAGAGAGATTCTTTGTGTGCTTATCTTTTATCATCTTTTAGATTCTTAACTTTACTTATTAATTGGTTTTTATAATTTTCCATTCTTATTGAAGTGAAATCCATTTATTCACTTGTAACCGACAGTCTTATGCAAAATAATATCAAAAGTAATAAATAATTGACAGCTTTAAACATTAAGTGTCAAAAGCTGCGGCGTTCTTGTTTCATTAAAAATATTGACAAAAATTTTATTAAATAATAATTAACCATGCATACTTACCAATGGCTGCAGAAAGGCCTTGAATATAAAGTGGAATTATATGGGGAAATAATCGCCTGCCAACAACATAAGAATGAAAACAAAAAGATTAATCAATGAATGAAGTACATGTAGCACTACAGATACTGAACAAAAACATCAAGAATGTATAAAATACTGTATCAATTAACTTAGATATAAAAAATATCTGCACGACTGAAAACATTATAACAGTGCAACATGCCTTAGAATGACCACCCAGCCAGATCAACAAAGATTCAAGACTGCACAATTTATTTTTTCCATGGGCAAGCATCCTTGCAAAATAAGCTACATTTGACTTTTAAGCAACATGATATTATATTATAGCACTTGAAAATTTCTAAATGTCACTGCATAAACTGTTGATTGGAATTCCTCTGGTAGATTAAAAAATTGTGCAGTTCTTTGAGGTAAACATTTATTTTTTAAAAGAATAATATTCTTCAAGGGTCAACATAGATTTCATGGAATTCTTGAGAGGTATAATTATTATGTATTCCCCACAACGTGGCTTTTGAGTTAGATGTACAGTACATTTCTGTTGATAAAAATGTCTCAATACAATTCTTACTAGAGGTATATACATATAGTGCTCAACCTATTCGCCGCTGGAGACAGCGACTAACCCTTCGAAACGCATTTTGAAGCTATTTGAGTGGTTTTCTGGTCACTGTCGTGCTATTAAGAGCTAAAACTTGCCACAAAGCTGTTTACAGGTCGTACACTTGACGGCCTTCTGATCCAGATGCAAAATATTAGCTTGCGAAGTTCAGGCATGCGCAGAAAGCAAAATTTTAAGATAGTTTTTGCATTTAAAAGCTCAACACAGCAGTCTTGACTTTTCCTTTCGCTTTCTCTCCTCCCCTCTTTTTCACTTTTCTTGCCTCATTTTTTTTCCCTTGCTGGGCATTAGTAGGCTTCATTTTGGTCGGAAAAGTTTTCAGGAAAGCAACAATTTGGATCTTAGGATAAGATGAAATTTTCAGGTCAATGTTACATGGTTTTTTGCCTTTTTCTCCAGTGTCCTTGACTGAATTGTGCTCATTCTGGTATGGTTTGAAAGATCTCTTCACTCTGCACAAGTTAGCAGACAAATGTTGTCCTTGACCATTAAAACTGATGTGGTAGAAAGGACGTGGATCTGCAAGGGTGGCTCATGGACGAATGGGTTAAAGTAACTCGAGAAAGAGACCCATCATCTAAAAAATATCCCATTCATAATAATATTATCGTGCAATCACATTAATGATTTTTACCCTAATTAAAAAGAACCATCTCCCACAACCATTGTGATTTTCTAAGACTTACAGCTGTTTGATTCGGAGCCAAGTTGCTAAGATGATGACAAAACTCAGCAAACTAACAGCAATAGCAAAGTTGTCCACCACCTTCAAAGCATAATCCTCAGTAGGAGAGAAGAATACCCAAGGACAATGAGGCACGCACATCTTGCCATTGTAAACAAGTGGTTTGTTACATGGGTACATTGGCTTTGGCATAATGCTAAGGAAAAAAAATCAGGGGCTTTGGCATACATGTAATACTAAAGAAAAAAAACAGGGAGTAACTGTAACTACATGAAAATAGAGAAATATCAATTGATAATGGTCAATACTAACTGATTTGTTCATATCAGAAATTGACGACCAATATTTTACTGATGAGGGTAAATTTTGTGACTTTAAACATGATGTCCATGATGAGGCTGCCCTCCATAAAAATGTTACATTAAGAAGTTTCATGTCATAGTTATATATGCAGTGCATGTGGACTTCAAAGAAATGGGATTAGTTTATGTTCTGGGGCGATAAATTTGAGACAGGTTCATCAAGTTGAAAATCTTTTCTATGCTTGTTCATCAAAGAAATGTGCCACAATGCATATGTTGCCTGTGCAGAGCTGTTGTTCTCTTCTGCTCATAAAAACAATTATCTTGGCTCAAATTCTGGGTGTTTGGACTTTTTACATCTGCTCTTATGGCTTAATGGCAATTTCTTTCATTTTGTGATTAAATTTTGTTTTTGTGGGGGGATTACACATGTACTGACCTCATTTATTTGCAAAACAACTAGAAAAAACTCCCTGGCAAAAAATTAAAAACTTGTGATTCAGAGAGTTTAAACTTGCTCGTGAGAAATTGAAACCTCACCAGCAATACATATAATTGAAACTGGCAGCAGAAACTTCACACTCATGATAGAGAACTATTAGCCTGCGAGCAAGCTCCGGGGCACTCAGGAATTTTAATTCCACCTCCAATTCCCCCGTGGCTTCCCAGCAACTGAGCTGCCAGATTTCCGCCAGTCACTGTGAAGCGGAAACGAATGTTGTATACAAACATTGAAAACATGTGCCAAGGGTACTGACATCATTACTAAAGTCATCTCCACCAATCATCATTTCGCATCGGCTTTTTACAGATATTCAAATTCCAAAGATGTGGTTGCAAGCTCTCCTTCCTCTTCCCACCCTGCCGCCAGAGAGCCTCGGAGAGCTTGCTCGCAGGCTAGAGAACTATTGGATGTCACTAAAACGGGGAACAGGGAATGGAAGTCTGGGAACCAGTAGTCGGCAGTAGCCTCCACAAAAATCCAAAATGGGCAATAAGATGATAGAGAAGCGTTGAAACAACACAACCCTTAACACCGCTATCTGCTTGTGAGGTGCTTTTAATAAAATAACGCGGAGGTAATAACTTCATGATATTTTTGACCTTTTTGAGTGTTAGCAAACATATCCATAGGAAACATAATATGCTCCCACACAACAGCAGTTGAAAGACACTAGTTGGGAGGAAAACTCTCAAAGCACAGTCATATTTGGAACTCAAGCGAATCTATACTGGCAAACCTGTGATAACAAGTAAATGCAAATTGCATTATTTAAAAAGATACAGGTTTAAAACAAAGGATCAAGTTATTGCATCAATAAAAGGCAAATTAAACATTGAGGCAGGAATATCAACCTTTAACCATGCTCTTAAAGAGTCAGTTATTTGAACCAAATGGCTATAATGCTGTAGTTTTATTCTAAGATTAATTTAAATTTTTTCCCGTTGTTTTGGGGTATGGTAATATGAATTTTATGATTATGAGTTCAAAACAAAGGGAATAAAATTAAAACTTAGGAAAAAAGTGAACCACAATAGCTCCAGTATTAATAAGGGTTGCACGCATACATGGGGGAAGTACATTGGTTGGAAGGTACCTTCTAAAGGCTAGCTGTTAAAATATGGGAAGTATATTTCCTCTGTTTAGCCCTCTGGGTGCTTTTTTCTGCAGGACTCCTTTAATGTTTTTGAAGAGGGGGGCTCTGCTTCTCTTTAATGAACATTATTTTACCGTTAAGAAAAATACCTCAAGCTCAGTGTAAAACTGAATGTGTCAATGACTTAAACCTGCAGTTTGTCAAGCTGTTTTATTTGCTTGATAAATGTTGCAGCGCACCTACCATTAAGTATCAATGTTAGAGGTTGGCAGCTTATAAGATTAAAAAGAAGGTGGTTGACAAGCCTTCAAGCAAGCTGCCTGTAGTTTTGAAAATAAAGAGTCTAAGGTTTCACACAAGTGATGAGTGGCAAAAGATTGGAGTGCCAAAACTCTTTCTGTAACTATACAACTGGATGTGTATATAGTGGCCCCATTACACCTACTCAATGTTTCAAGTACATGTAACATAACACAACAGATCTTGCTACCTGTTTTCCTTGATTTCATTTCCCCTTCCGGAGGCATATTTTCCTTAGACACATTTTTATAGGGTTTAGGGAGCTTAGTTCCTTAATTAGTGAAACACACCACTGGAGTCCCAAGCTCACATTACGAGTGTGTTATGTAAATTAACTTTCTCACTAGAGAGTCGGTGTCGCGTTACGAGGAACCGTTGAGCTTTGCATGAGAAATCAAATAACCACCCTTGGTCAAGGGAAATTTGACCTCGGACCAACGCCGTGTGCAGTTGCCGTGTCACAGTGTCTGGAGAAAGAAGGTATTTTGGACATGGCTAGAGGAAATGTTTATTTCCAGTGACATGCATGGGCTCAAAAAAAACATGACAGCCATGCAAACGGCTCTGGCTATCCATAGGAGAAAAAATTGTTGACCGTTCAAGTGACTGGAGCTACCTGTTCAAAGATAAATTTTAGCAAGTTTCATCTCAAAACATTATTAAATAATGTTTTGTTGCCATCCAGTATCGTTGACGATTTGTTATTCTCCAGGTATTCTTGAGTAGTCACGTTACAAAGTTTGTTTACAGATGCATCATGATAGTCATGAATCTTTTTCTGCTCCTTTAAGCCTGCTTTTCACTAGCACATAAGCATAAGCATAAGCACAAGCACATGTGTAAGCAAGTGAAAACTGGGTTGACATAAGCATTAAGCATAAGCACAAGAAAAACGGACAAGGTCATTCTTCTTATTCTTGTGCTCAATGCTTAAGTCATAGGTTTGACTACTGAAAACAGGGTCGACATAAGCACAAGAATAAGCACAAGGCCGTGGACCAATCATAGGCCACTTTGACCCAGACCTTGTGCAACATATCAAAAGCAATATGGCTGACGAAGCATTTGCCGTGGTTATCATTACATCCCATCAACCTCAGCCCCTTTTTAATTTGGATACCTCATGAAATTTACACAACATATTTTTCCCCTTTACTAATTAGGGTGAAGCACTGGTTTTTACAGATTAGGGTTAAGCACTGCCTTTACTGATTAGGGTTATCCACTGTTTCGAAACTGGTTAGGTTTTTTTGGGGGGGTTGGGGTTGATGCTATATAATAATTATGTACTTAAATTATTACGCTTCCATCCAGCAAATCTTCAGTGGTCTAGTGGTTGGCGTAGTATACTGGACAATCTGGGTCATGGGTTCGAATCCTACTGTCATTTGTCTAGAATTATTTTTCTTTCAAATTGAAGAGACTTGCACTTTCATGAACATTCCAGCTTGAAATATCATCTAAGTGTGATATAAAAGCAGAAAACAGATCTACCTTGAGTCAATTTTATGAGGGGAGAAAGGGGCTACGGCCAATGGGATCTAATGCTGACCGTCCGCCATCTTGTTTATCACTGGGTTGAGGAGAGCTGCTGGTATCAAGAATTGAGTCAAATATGCCATTCTGCACATGCGTATGGCCTTATGCCTATGCTTAAGCGCTAGTGAAAACCAGGCTTTATAGCCATCTTCGCCTTTCATATTATCACTCCATTATCGACAGCATCGACACACGTTTTATCCAATACTTAAGTTCTTACTTTTCAACAAGTTTCCTGAAAATAATGTTTTGACCGTTTAGAGACATGTGCAAAAAAATAGCGTAAAACGATTTGAGATCAAAAGATATGATATCTCCTTTGAGAATACACGCTGTCGGTTCGTTCCAAGCCTGCTAACTTTTCCTGAGAAGAAAAAAAAAAAAGAGCGAAAAAGCTGTGCCTTTTTGCTACCATCATTTTGATTCACTGTTTTCCTTTTTTGCCATTATTGTGGAGTAAAACGTTATTTCCATGACACAGGTTTGAAATCAAAAGCTCTTTGAGTCCTTGTGGCATAACATTGCTGTACGTTTCACACTTTCTCTTTGACATTAAGACTTGACATGGTGGTGTTGGTCTTTAATTTAAAATGATGCGCTCTAAATTCCTTTCAAGGCAACCAGAATCCATGGAAAGTGATGAGTTCTCTGAATTCTGTGTATGGAGAGCTTTTCAAAGAGATCATTAATGATGTTGTAACCAGTTTAGTAATCTATACTTTATTTTTCATATACATCGATTTGCCATGCATCTCCGCCCACAAATAGCAAAAGCTGGATGAGGCGGGTGAATTATTAGCAAAGATACATGTTATCATAGCCGTCATATGGCTTCATTCTGTGTGCAGCTTGTGTTTTGTTGTTCTGCTTCATGCTGCTCATGTTTTTTTATTATTTTTGTAGCTATTAAAATTGCTTTTAGGGATAACCAGGCACAGATCACTAAAACAACTAGTCGATTAGTTTCAGAAAAGGTAAGTTGATAATAACTTGTGTAACTTTGGCTAATTTGAGCATCAGGTATTTTCTTTCACAAAAACAAAGTTTTTGACTTCCATTTTTCACTTAACCTGGCTGAAACTACGACATAGAAAGTTATCATTGCAAGCCTGTGTATTGTAGTTTTCAGTTTTGGTTCTTCAGTTTGTCAGTCTTAATGTCTTAAAACTTCGAGCTTTATTTGGAAAATGACAACACACAATCGCTTTGTAGTTTTATTTACATGTACCATCAACCATGATGCAGTGAGAAAGGCTCAAGAAGCTCATTTAATACACAAAGGAAACACATTATTTCCTCTAGGAATAAATAGATGGGATGAAGCTCACTGATATATGATACCACCTACACCAACAACAATCCATTGCTTTTATTGACACTTTTTCAATTATACTTGTTTGTAACGAACGTTTAGTTTTATTTCCATGCTTTTAGCCCCTGAAGAAAGTTTGTTTTCAAACCGAAGTATTGGGCAATTTGTTTAAATATATATTTATTTATTTTATTCTTCTGTTTACTTCTTCATTGCCTTGCCGTAAGGATCAGTTTGCTGTTTCATATGTTACATACAAGAAAGCCAGTAAAAACAAATCCATCTACAAACTTCAAACATCATTTTCAGCATTGGTGCAACCAGAAATTAAACCCCTTGGTGCAAAAATCTGAAACTAGAAAAATGAATCAATTTTCAAAAGAAACAGTTTTTTTCTTTACCTTTTGTTCTAGTTTCTTGCTTTTTGTTTTTATATATATATTTATATTTTTTTATATTTTCTCAGTTGGTTTATATACTATATGCAATCGCAAATACGAAAGTGATCACGCGCAGATGTTGTATTTTTTGCTTATGCGAAGTGCGTTTTGTTGTGGTGTTCTGCTGACTACTTGTTCCCAGACTTCTAATTCCATTGCCGTTTCCCATTTCCCGTTTCCCGTTCCCCATTCCCCCTTCCTCCTTTTAGTATAAAACATCCAGAGCTATTAAATCAAATGCCTTCACAAAAAATCGTACAATTGCTTCTCCTATGCCTTGTAAGTGGAAAATGGAAATGCCCTAAAAATAGAAATATTAATTTTGTTCTTAAAAAAAAAACAGAAAATAATAATATGTTCGTACCTCTTATTACTGTGGGGCTTCGGCGGTGCAGGCAATTTGTTTGCGTAGAAAATCGCCGGAAGTAGAGCAATTCCCCAGACGAACATCAATCCCATAACCACGACAAACGTCACAAGTAAGCGACTTCTCTTACGAGGTATAAGAGGTGCGTCGCTGCCCGAAGATGTGCATGAAATTTCCTTTGTATCTTCTGGTACTCTATTGATTACTTTGATATCCGCCATTTTGCATGCATACACACGCTCAGTTCTGAAATCAATTCAAAATCAATCAGCGTGAAATGAGAGACCCTGTTTAGACGGCCAGTATAAATGACTCACTCTATCCGATCCTAATGGGAAAATGAAATTCATAAGGGCATAATGAACGAAGTATCGAGCAGATAACTTGTTTTGTATTTTGATGAACTGACTATGAAATGCTTAGGATAGCTGAAAGATTTAAGTTAAGCTTTAAACCCACAACTTAGGGTTATTATTAAAACGTACACCATGTTCAGGAATGTATAAAGCTGAACTGATTAGTAAATTAAAGGACCCAACAGTAGCCCTGGAAAAGTTATACGTTACGCAGCATTAACAAACACCTATTACAATACCTGAGTGGAAATAAAGCCGCCTTCTCAAAACAGAAGTTTCTTCAAGGTGGTCTCTGCGATCGACCCTTGGGCTCTCGCTTGCGCTCCACTAAATCAACAAAAAAGCCTGGGAGACTGGACAAAGCAAAGCGACATTTCATTCAGCGTAAGTGAAGGATTTCCCGCTTCACGAAAATTTCCCGCCATATTTGCACTCCAAGAGCCAAGCCAAATATTTCAACTTGAAACTACGAGATTCAAATGTAAAGCTATGGTACAGGAATTTATGATTCTCCGATGTTTTTCCTGCACTACCTTCCAAGTCCAGCAAGTAAGAATTGTTTGTATTTTTGCAAATTCCAACTTGCTGTCATCAATTTCCAAATCAAAGATGACGAATTAAAGTCAACAAAATCTTTTTGATGAGTATCCTCCTAAACAGCCCTAAAACATCAGCTGGCTTATCTAGAATTTCCTTATTAAGTCTATATACTAGTTGTAAACTTAACAAAAAGATATAGCTCAATACCTTTCCTTACAAATCAGCTCGGATGTTGACCAGCCATGATTCTGGATAAGTATATGCATCAGTCAATTCCACCTGCGCACAGCGCCCCCCCCCCCCCCGGGCTACTGCCCGGCATTTACCCCCCAAGTCAGCCCCGGGGAAGTCCCGGGGGTGGGGCATTTGCAACTTTTGCACTGTCCAGGGGCCGGGCCTTTGCCGCCCCGGGGGCCTTTCCTGAGCTTTTTACACCCAAGCTGTTTCCTATCAGAATATAACCACCCAGAAGTTTTTAACTATGCTAATCAAAAAAACAAAAGAGAAAGAAAAAATTACACTAACCACCCCCACGTCGCGATGGGAGAGATCACACGCTCACGCCAGTGGGGGAGGAAGTAGGGGGGGGGGGGGGGGCGGGGATATGAGGGGGGGGGGGGGGGGGGGGGGGTGGGTGGGGGGTGGTGGGTGGCGTTGGTGGTAATCAACAAAGTTTTAAACGGGGAAGCACTGTCCAGGGGCCGGGCATTTGCCGACCCTGGGGCCATTCCTGAGCTTTTGACACGCAAGCTGTTTCCTATCAGAATATAACTACACAGAAGTTTTTATTGGAAAAAAAAAACAGATTGGCCATATGTCAAGGACAGGAATAAATTGTAGAGGGTTGTAAAGGCATGGTCTCGATTTTATGCATGCATTTCTTCATTGCTTTATGTCAAGCCAGAATTACATAGCGAAATTGGAGCTATTGATGTGAATCAACATTTTTGGGTTATTGAATCAAATTTCTGATATTATTTGAAGCACTTCCTTTCATATTTATAAAACTATTCAAAACATATAACTTTACAGCACTCTATTAATGTTAATGTCAATAATTTTATATCAATACTAAAACCATAAACTGGTGCATACTGTTGCAGCGTGAAGTCTTAATTAGAATGCTAGCACTATTACAAAGGAAGATGTTAATAATATTGAAACAAAAAAAACGCACATTAAAATGCTTAAAATGGCACTATTTGACTGTGCGGTCGATGAAAAATGTTGCAATGTTGACGGAGGACGGGGCATTTGCCCTCTTTTTTCATCCCCACCACCAGGGATTTGACAGCTCAAGAGTCCCCACCCCCCGGGAATTTACCATGCAAGGCAAAAAAAATGCTAATGCCTAGGGGTCAGCTCGGGGGGGGGGGGGGGGGGGGGGGGGGGGGGGGGAAATTGTGGAGGTTTTTGGGGGGGGGAAAAATTTTTTGTTTTTAAAATTTACAACTTTTAAAAATTAGGTTTTTACGAGGTAAAGAGGAGGAAGAAGGGTCTTTTTAAATTTTGGGGAGAAAAGGAGCCCCAAAAAAAGATTTAGGGAGAGGGTGGTGTGTAGGAAAAATTGTGCCAATTGCGGCGGGGGCGGGGGTCTTGTCCCTTTTTTTCCCCCCCCCCCCCAGGGATTTGAAGACACAAAGCGCCCCCCCCCCCGGGAATTTACCCGGGAAGGGAAAAAAAAGGGTTAGGCCTGGGGGGGGGGTGGGGGGGGGGGGGGGGGTGGGCTGGGTGCAGGTAGAATTGACTGATGTATTAGCAGTGGCAATAATTTTTGTTCATTAAAGTTACAACTACTTAAACTATGACTGTTACCAGGTTAAGAAGAGCAAGAAGTGGATTTGTAAAGTTTGTGGAGAAAAGCAGTCCATCAAAAAGATTTATGGACAGGGCAGTGGCCAGGATTGCCGCAAGCATGTGCAGGAATTAAATCTCAAATGCGGAGAAGCTCAAGCAGTAAAAGACCTAACAGCGTTGGACTGTCATGACAACAATGATTATGGCAATGTCTCTGAAAACATGCAAAGTGCAGGCAATATTGCAGTCAATGGCAGAAGCCCAACTTGTGAAGACAACATGACTGCATACATGTGTAAGCCCCCTACCATAGAGAGTAAATGGAAAATGTTCTTGGAGAATATGTCTTCCTCTGATGACAATGGTAAATTCAAGTTTATTTAAGTGTTGACTTAAAGTTTGCATGTTATTGGAGGAGCCAAACAATCTGAGAGCCAGCGAGCCATGCAATTTGTGCAAGCCTTAGGAAGAAAAGTACCGTAAAATTTTCAGTTAATGTTTTGCGTATTACTACTTTTTCTTTTTTTTTTGTATTTTTTTTACACTGCTCACTGGCTCATACTGTGTCCTAACTCGTAAATAGACCCCGTTAATGCTTTAACTATCACTTTTAAAAATTTAGAAAAGCAACTACGATAACTGGATTCTAATGACTCATTTCTTCAACAGGTACAGACATCATTGATGGGTTTAATGTAACAACAGAAAGGGATGCTTTTAATAAAGCTACGAAAGGTGCGAGAAGGAAGTGGGCACAACGTGGAAGCAAAACAAGTTCCTACCACAAACAAAAACGACCCAAAAACTCTATCGATGTTGACCAAGTCAGTGCTGGCAAACTACACTCAAAGAATACTGAAAATGTTACTGGAAATACTGTCACAGGTGTGAGATATACTCCCTATTTTGTTCCAAATCAAAGGAAACAAGCCTATTCAGGTCAGACATTTGAGCTTGATGGTGCAATATTGAACAAAGAGTACACAGAAGTGCAGTCTCCAACTAGATTACTTCCTTTGCAAGCAAATCACCAGTACAAATGCAATGTGCACTTTGCTAGGGCAACCAGAGATGTATCCTCTTCAACTAAGCTGTCAGGTTCAATGAGTAATCAGGGAATGAAAATCTCTAGTTCATCAAAGTGGGCAAAATTTATGTCCAGTTCCTTGTCTGAAAACAAACCACTTGAAGACTCAGACACCATCAATAGCTCTACTGAGGAAACTTTGGTCCAAAATGAATATCTTCTTGTCGACACAGAGTTTCCTGTGGAGCAATGTGAGGAAATCAGTCAACCTCAAAATTGTGAGCATAATGCTGGAAAACTAGCAAGTTGCACCATGAATGAAAGAAAACCAAGATCTCAGCTGGTTGAAGATTTGTTTAAAGTTAATGATGATCTAGATGAAGAGTGGTGGAATTCACTGTGATGTTTTGGGTTAATTTTATGTCACATAAAAAAGTGTTAAAAATATTGAATTGCTTCATTTGTAAGGGTACAGAATAATGGGATCTGGATAGCTTAATCTTGAATCTGGCCAGTTCAGCAATAAATATTTGGTAATATTTTTAACATTTTCATATTAGAAAATGCAGGAGTTAGCCTGCCCAGGCATTGAATAGCAGTGTTTTTTTTCAAATAGTTATGGTGAGTCCTAGGACTCATCTTGTGAAAAATCATGAGTCCCTGTCCTTAAATGAGCTGCATCACGGAATTCAGCCAAAATAGGAAATTACAAAATGCCTGTTAAATTAAGAGAAACATAAAAATAACCGTTTAAAGCTTTAAAGGAAGGTTGAAACAACAGATGCCGTGGATGGGCAAAACCAAAGAAGATTGAAACGGATTGAAATTTAATAGGGTTTTTGAAAACTGTTCAGCCTAAAAGTTTTCCGAAGTTGGTCGGACCCTGCTTCTTGCAACTTCAAAAATAATGCTCAGGAGACATATTTGTTTGTCTCGGATCTCTGCTTTTGTTATTTACGTGTAATTTCTTTGCTTGAGGGCGAGTAATTGGCAAAATTAAACAAAATGAACTGGACTGCAGTGACACAGCCCCTTTAACCAATGAGTCCCAGTAGTGACCAACATCAATTTTCTCCTCATGATATCCATACAATGTCAAGAGATTAGGTTATGAGAATTAATAAAATGATCACCTACGAGAAAATGCTTTGATCTTTTATCAAATTCTCTCAACTTATTCTTTAAGGAAATGTATAGAGATCAGTTTGGAGAATTTGTATGTGGATATTGGGGCTGAAAGGGTTAACCAATGTGTCCCAGTTCAAAAAACAAGGAGTCCTAAATTGAAAATACAGTCAACTCTCGTTATAGCGGACACTGTGGGGACCTCAAGTTAGTGTCCTCATTAGCAAGAGTCTGTAATAGCGGGATTTCATTTCAGTCAAACTGCTGTAATTTATTTTTGCCCGGTATTTAGCCACTGTCCGTATAATCAGGGTGTCCATTATAGCGAGGTGTCCGCAAGGCGAGAGTTGACTGTACTTGGGTCTCTATGTAACCAGACGGTTTATCTGGAGACAGACACCAAAGCTCTTTATTACAGTTTACTGAAAATAGTTGTTCCATGTATTTAAAGCACAAGAAAGACTAAATTACAACAGCCACAGAAATCACACAACAGGATATTCTTCCCAAAGAATCTTCAAATCAATCGATCGTTCTTTGAGTTCTATGGAACACATGCCATGAATTATTTTGTGTCTTTAGGGATTTTTATGCATTAGGGATGCAGGACGCAGAGGTAACAAAATCACTGGAATAGTGAGGGTAAAAGGGAATTTTGAGCATGGAGGAACTTGAACGGGACTTTCTCGGTCTCTTGCTGTGGATTTTCCAATTTGGAATTCCCCTCTTTCAAATGCTTGCCAAGCAGGCTTTAAGAAAGTGGTTGTTTTTTATGTCTGGGCCAAAAAAGTAGGCTTTTGTACATTATACTTTTATTTCCTCACTATAATGCTTATACTTGATGCTCACTCTTCCCCTAAAAAGTCACGGAAATGCTCACAATTTTATAATGCCCTTAAGGCCAAAAAAAAAATGTCATTGTCATGACAGCAAAGTATACAAGAGAAGGCAGAGAAGGAAAGAGTGGATTATTTTGTACAAATTCTTTAATCTTTCCAAAAAATGGTTCAGTTCACAGGTAGTCGAGGCTCAAAATATGAGCATTGGCAAGAAGGATTTGTATGGGCAAAAAGAATAGCATTACTTTGACAGGAATTAAATTGAGAAGCAAAATTGCATGGGAAGAGTTTTCTATAACTAGAGGATGGCTAAAAGTTTCTAGATGACCGTTCCATTTCCGTACAATTTCGAAGCTTGTCTAATAAATTCTTTGAGATTTTCCGGAGTTAAATACTTTCACATTTCACTTCCCAAGTTAGGCCATTTTTCTTTGGAAAAAAGGAAACCTAGAATTTTCGGATTCAAAAATGTGACGGAGAGTTGAGGAATCAGAAAATGTTTCACTTTGTAATAAGTCAAATTGCATCTGAAATTTTCGGGAAAGTAATACTCAAGCCCTTGTAATTTCTAAAAGACTCAAGTTCGCCCAAGATGACCAAACAGATACAAATTTTATAGCGCCACTTAGAATGCCTTTCTAGAGAGACAAAAGTACTCTGGATAGCCTAAAAAGTGGTTTCAATGTATTAAGGAGGAAACCATCATTGGGTGCCCCTGATTTATGGTCAGTTTAAGGGTTTTATTGGAACCAATCTGTTCTCAGGTCTGTAATCCTGTTCTAATTGTGAAAGAGAGACCAGGTGGAACATTTGGAGGTTGTTCTTAGTAAAACTCATAAAGTGGCAATAAATTGCAAACAAGAACGAGAAGTCCAAAGACTACTGCAAAGCTGATTTAAAACAACGTGTATTGTTTTTTATAACAACATTTCGGCTGGCCATACCAGCCTTCTTCAGGTTTACAGATGTTACTGAACTTATGAAGCAATCACAATATTATATAGATGGAGAATGTCGCGACAAAAGGGAGAGGGGGAAATGACGTACAACATAAAAACTGGAAAGGAAAAATACTAAGGATATGGAATACAATAATTCGTCACGGCGGTTTAGGCCATGAGGTTCAAGAGTCATGGCCTTATCTATCAAATGCGACTCCCTAGCCTTACGAACTGAGTCACGTGAAGAATGAATTTTCTCTAGTGGGATTAACTGCATGTCAGTTTGAGAATGGTTAGAGTGAGAGAGAGAGAAAGTGTTCAGAAACAGTAGTGGGTTTAGATTTAATGTTAGTTTTGTCGACTGCACGTCTGTGTTCGTTGAATCTGTCCTTGAGATGTCGCTTAGTTTAATTCTTTGATAGATTGCAGAAACAATTGTTCTTCCCGAAACAAATCCTTACACTTTGAAGGTTACACAACTATGCCAACAACCATCTTTCAAGACTGGGCTTCCTGTGGTCAGTTGAAGAAAACTTCAACATATATATTTTCGTGTTTGCGCTTTCTCGCTGACCCGACTACCGTAAATCCTCTTTTAAGCCCCCCCCCCTTTCAAATAAGTCCCCTCCCTCTAATAACCCTTCCCTTTGTCAGGGGAAAAAATTAATTAACCCCCCCCCCCCCTCCCCTAATTATTCTTCACTAATAAATGATACACTGTATTAATCAATCACGACTGTAGACTTAACTTACTTAACTTTATTATTCCATCGCTCATATAGTACAAACTCAGTAAAGCCAAAGCCGGGGGCTTATACGGCCTGTGGTCAGAATGACAGAAATTATTTTATTTAGAAATGAAGACTGTAGGCTAAACTACAAAACTAAAACAAGTTACAAAACTGAAATTAAATAAGTTTACATGCATGCAGTCCTATAACAGTCCTATAACAGTCCATAACTAGTGACAAATAAACTAACAATAAGCTGTGAGAATCCTGCGCTAGTTCAATTTAGGCTTAAAAAGTGAAGTTTTAGTTTCTTTTTGAAGTTACTAGTGGTAAGGCTGTCACGAACAGTCAAGGGGATATCGTTCCAAATAGGCGGGGCTTGAGAACTAATCGCAAATTGATACCTGAGGGACATTTTATGCAAGTTGAAACGAGAACGAGTAAGATAATCATGAAAATCACGATTAAAGTGGAGGAGGGAGGAAAGAGAGGCAGGTAAAAGGTGATTAAAGTGTGAGAATACAAAACAAGAAACATGAAATTTATAAAGTGAATGGAGAGAAAGAATATTAAGCTTCGAGAAAAGGGGAATTATATAAGGTTTTTAGAGTGACCGAAGGTAAGTATCGCCGCGATTTAGACAAAATTCCTATAACCTTAGCGACTTTATCGCAGTTGGAAGTGATGTGCGGTTTCCATGAAAGGTTTTCGTGAATAATTATTCCAAGAAATTTATGTTCCTGTATCCGTGCTATAGGGGTGTTATTTATTAAGATAAATCTGAAGGATTGATCTGTTTAATTTACGTCGTGGATGATGGATGATGAATTTGGTATTTATCAGGATGAACAGTAAGCTTGTTTGCGTTAAACCAGGAGGAGACAAGAGAAAGCTCTTGATTAACCATTCTAGTTAAAGTAGCCAAGTCTTTATTACGAAGCGACACTTCGTGTGGACTGATCTGGGATGGTTTATTTACCGGTCGAGTCCAGATTTGATTCTGATCCTCAGCTGCATGACCCCCAACCTTCTTGTCCTTTGGCTTTCCTACTTTTTATATATTCTATTTCTAGTTCTTTATGGAGAACTGATAAAATCGTCTTTTGAAAATTAAATAAGCTTCCCAGCCCCCACCCCAAATGGGCTTGAAATTAATAGTCGGCTTCGCCAACCACCTCGCATCTTCACAGCGGTCAAACGAGTGAAATTTGCAAAAGTTAAGCGGACTTCTTTAAAGTTAAGGTTGTACTTTCACTATCGAAAGTTTAGGGTATTACCAACATCCTGTTAGTTAACTAAACTTTTTAAAAGTTTACTAAAAAAGTTCTAAGTGATTGAAAACCGATGCTGACGTTATTATCGGCGCCATTTTCAAACATGATTCTTTTTTAGCGCGAAGCGTTTTCAGCGAAAAAAGCTCAAAATTTTGAGAAAAATGGAAAGATAGTTATGTTGACTAACTGATTTATACATCTTTGCCCATTTTTTTCTAACTGGTAAATGAAATCCCAGCAAAAAAAACAAAAATAACGATTTTAAGCTTAGACGTTTGGCCGCAGTGGTCCTTGCATCCCTTGTCCGATGTTCGGTCAGTATAAAACACGGACTGCGGACTGCGGACCACGGACTGCGGACTGGGTATAAAATACGGACTAGGTATAAAATGAGGACTCCGGACTGAGTATAAAACACGGACTAGGTATAAAACGCGGACTACGGACTATGTATATAAAAACAGCCTTAGAAGGTAGAACTGAGAGAAATAGAAAGCGGACTAGCAAAAACAGTAGTCACAGCTTTAACGCTTTTCACGTAGTCTATTCTGTTCCCACGGAGAAGGAAGGTTATGCCGGTACTCAAGGCAACTGAAATTAAACTCTGCATTTTATAAAAAGAAGGAGTTTGAAGAGATTTCAATTTGCAGTTTTACACCAATAAGAAGCACCGAATTAAAAAAAATAGTATTGGTGTTAGTCAGATCAGTAAAATTCTTATCGGATGCCACAATTCCGTTTCAAATAAAGCCTTGGGAATGTGAGGAATGAATGAAGAACTCAGACGAGAAGGTCAATGAGATGCACAAAAGCAGTATTTTATAGGTGCGAGAGATTACTCACATACGTGAATTATAACCGAAATGAGTCGTCCAACGTTATATTCTAAGCGATGACTACCCTGCTCCTGATCCCCGGAAGGGGGTATCTTTGGGAATTCTTGGTGGGGGTGTAGTGCCCGGTTCTCCGAATCCTGACCTTATTGCAGACCAAAAAATTGTCATTTTCCACACCCGTTTTCAGTCTAGATCTCTAAAATCCATACCTATTTTCGGACCTGGCCTAATTTAGCCTGTTCCAGGTTCTCAGATAGTTGAGGAGACTCCCCAGTTTTTAATTTCTCCCGTTTTATTTTCGTGTTTTCGCTTTCGCAATTCAGCGGACCCAACTATCTCAGAGCGTTGAACAGGTTAGGTCTAATTAGGCAGAAATTTTGTCATCATTACCAAATTAGAGCGGAAGCAAAAAAATTCTCCAAATGTATTTCGAATTCGCACATTTCTATTACGTTCTTATTCATTTGGAATTGAAACGATAAATACGTCCATTCATGTACGCTCCCGTAGTTCCTCGAAAATCATACCCGATTCCACACCAAAATGGGCAAAGTGTTTTCAGACCAAAAAGGCCCAAACCCCCTACCCTTCCATTATACAAGGGAGTACCACCCCTGATCCTGACCCCTTTCATGATTGTTAGAGACCAAGACAAGGTCTAAAAATGGGTGAAGAAAATAGCATTTTGATCCGGCTCATGATTCAAAAACCGGACTCACGTATCTTGCTATTTAGCAATCTTTTGATCTTATTTCTCCTTACCTAGAACCAATTTGCACGGTTTTTACCAAAGTAGTCCGTAGTCCGTATTTTATACCCAGTCCGCAGTCCGCAGTCCTCGTTTTATACCTTGTCCGTGTTTTATACCCAGTCCGTATTTTCTAGTCCGCGTTTTATACCTAGTCCGTATTTTATACCCAGTCCGCAGTCCGTAGTCCGCAGTCCGCAGTCTGTGTTTTATACTGACCGGTCCGATGTTCTGTTGTGGAAGATTGGACACCACTGAATATCCGGGGGTTTTTTATCACAAGCGGACAACCAACATGGCGGCTATGATGAGAGGATGTCGAGTGTTAGAAAGAGCTCCATTTTTGGTGAGTTTCTCCCTGTTTCGACAGTTAGGATGACAATCTTTGTGAAACTTATTTCTCACAATTTTGAAGAGCAATGTTTAAAGCTTAAACTATACTGTTCTCACTGCAGGCGCGAACGCTCAGTATTTCGTCAGCTCGTTGTGCTGACCTCCCTGCCAAGGTTGGTACTTGCCAGTTTTGTCGTTTTGTTAGCTTGTTTGTTACCTCTTAATTTAGATGGTACGGACAAGACTTATGATGCCTACTTTTATAGAATATCTGACCGCTTATGCAAACCACAATTTGTGAGTATTTACTGGCCGCTACCTTGACGGACGATGACTTTCATTGCTAAGTTTCTCTTTGGGGACAATATCAAAAACGGTGTCCGTTTCTTTCGCTTCAATTCTTTCCCCTGTATCGTGAAGTTGATTCGTTGTGAATCATATTTCGTTTCACTGCATCAACTACTCTAATAAGGTTTAAGTCGCTTTAAAAACTTATTTACATAGTGTCGATTCTTCGCTCAACCAACTGTACATGTACTCGAATTCAAGCTTCTTCGCCCCGATCAGCCAAGTTGTACGTTGTACAATGTATTTCTTTTCCAGAATAATGAATTATAGTTGTTTATTGTTTAGTGGTTTACTAGAAGGGAAGCCTTATTTCACCTGTCAATACTAGGGATTAAATATTAGGTAGATATTATCATTGTTTTTTATTGTAGCCTCCCATACAAGTGTTTGGTATAGAGGGAAGGTATGCCCATGCCATGTACTCTGCAGCAGCCAAGCAAAATACTTTGGAGAAGGTTGAGAGTGAATTGAGCAAAGTAGATGAGCTTATTAGATCAAATGAAAAGCTTGCTGAGTATCTTGCAAACCCTACTCTGGACAAGTATAAGAAACAATGTAAGTGTCTCATATTAGACATCTTTTTTAGCTATTTTGCTTAAGTGTTTGCATTGTAGCTCACACCTAAATGAGGCCTAATGAGAGGTCAATTATTTTACAGAAATGCGCTATTTGTCCACTCAGATTCTTAACTAGTAGAGCAATTCTTAGTTATCACTTGGGTCATATTATACGAAACTAAATCAGTGATTGGCATTTATCATATTTCTATGGTTCACCATCTTAAATTATTGTTACCAAAGTGCATTGAATGTTGCTGCTTTATCGCTTCCAGGGCCAAGAAAAAAATATACACTGTATGAATTCCAAAATTGAAAACATTCAATAGGTGGGTTCCACTGAGTTTTAACGGAATCAAAAAATTGCTACAGGTAGTTTCCCATGATCTCTGGGCACAGAAATGAAAAATTGTTTTCCATGGGAATTGAAATCCTAGGGCTTGCTCTAATATATTTTAAAAGCTGCAAGAGTCCAATCCAGATACTGGGTTTTTCTTGGTGTTGCGGAAAACGAAACTATTGTTGGTTCTAAAAAGCTATCATGTTGCACTGCAGGTATTGTTCCTTGTCTTTTGAATCTTTTGTATTTTCCATTTGGTGATTGCACTCATCAACAACACCAAGCTGCCAGAAAACAGCTCAACTAACATCAAAAGGCCTTTTTGACCCAGCATCCACAGTCCAATGGGTTAATATTTGCTACTTTGGTTAAAATAAATATCAAGTGGTCTGTTAGAGTCTGTTAGTCATCAAGTGGTCTGGGGAGCAAGGAATGGTGCAGTGGCGAGAGCGCTCACCTCCCACCAATGTGGTCCGGATTCAAATCCTGGCGTCAACACCATTATGTGGGTTGAGTTTGCTGTTGGTTCTCTGCCTTGCTCCAAGAGGTTTTTCTTCGGGTACTCCGGTTTTCCCCTCTCCACAAAAACCAACACTTCCAAATTCCATTTCGACCAGGAATCAGGTAGACGAAGAACCATTTTGTGGATGTGCTACCTCCAAATCATTATTTATTTATTTGTTTATTAATTTATTTATTTGTTATATCAGGGGTTGATCCGTCAGGTAACGTTTTATTCATGGTCCAGTGTGAATGAATAACTAACTATTGTGTTTCATTGTTTTTGCAGCACTTTTAACAGATGTCTTGAAATCACAGAAATACTCTGATTTGACAGTGAATCTATTTGGTGAGTTGCTTCCTTTACATTGACAAAAACTGTTCAGTTTACAGCTGCAATGTATGTTCTGCCTCATGTGACCGTCATTGTTGAAAATTCCAGTGGAGCTTTCAAGGTTACGTTTTGGTTTTGAAACTTCATTTTAAGATTTTAAGATTTTTAAGATAAGAATTTTACCTGCATCTGTATGAAACCAAGTGTGCCCAATATTGTGAGTCTAGCATAAATGATAGAGAGACTTGGGCTACTTTTGAAGGCACTGGACAAAATTTGAATTCCTGCATTTACACCGTTGGTGTTCCTTTCAAACAGAACCACTTGAAGTGTACAAAAAATTTAGAGGCCCAGAGCCTGTTCAAAGTTCCATGAGAACCAAGGCAAAATATTAAACAATCCCATGTGAATGAAGTGTCTGGTCAAATTTTTCAGGTGCTCGAACAATATTTGTTTGTTGCTCTGTGAACTTAGCCGAAAAGCTTTAATCTACAAAATTCAGGGTTCATAACAAAATCCTTTAAATATACTTTCAAGTAAAATTAAGATCTTCTTGTTACCTAAATAAAGACACCAGTAAATCACCATGGGCCACAAGGCACTGTTAGAGTACAGCCCTGATTGGTGCTTTAACAGTAAATATTTCAAATTGCAGGAACTTTGGCAGAGAACAATCGGCTACGTTTAGCCAACAACGTTGTGTCTGCCTTTGGCAAACTTATGAGCGCTGCCAGAGGGGAAGTGTTGTGTTCTGTAACAACTGCTAAGGTTTGTTCTTATTCACTAGTACCTAATATGTGTAAGACCAGCGTGCAAAGAAAGTCATGTCCAATAGCCTGGAGCTAGTGGATTTGCAATCGGACTAGTGAATTCTGACTTCTCAACTTGCTCGAAGGGCAAGTGAAGTATTTTGGGAAATTCAAATTACAGAAGAACTGTAATCAATGCTGCTCATCAAAATCTTTTGGAGGCTACTTAAAAGACTCTTGGGCTAGTACATACTAGCAACAACTTGCCCGTCGGAATGGCAAGTGGTAAAACCGACACTCTTTGCACCCTGAAGTCCTTTTTTTGTGACAGATTTTATGGTTTTGTCTCTTTTAGGATTCCGTCATTAAATATAAGTGTAACTGAAAAATGCAATCTAAAATGCATGCATGGTGTGGCTTTTACTAAAAAAAAAAAGAATGAGAGAAAATATTGATGTTAGGGAAATGCTAGCATGTGTAGCAGTTGTTTCTGTTTCCTTTTAGCCGAGCTAGACAATGTAAAAAAAGTGAGCACACATTTAGGTATTGGGTGAAAAGGAAAAAAATTGTGTCTTTTGTAATTTGTCCTGCTCCACCAAAAGGAAGTGGCTGAAACAACTGCCACTGTACACTTGCTAGGGAAAATCCACAGCCAGATGAAAAACAGTTAGAAGACGACGAGAAACTCAAGATTTTTTTTCGTAAGAGATGAAACCCCAAGTCTTTTAACATCATTTTCATATCCTAGTGATATAGTGTTGGTGCCCCTGTCCAGCCTATAACAGGGAGGTTAAGAAATCACAGTGTCAAAAAATGCCATTGGAAAGAGGATCTCTTAATTAATAGTTCTATCGAGGCTGTAAATTTTCGCAAACGTGATCACTGATGATGGGATCTGAATGGGTCCGAAACCTCTGCTACACTTTCAACAAATTGTTGGTGATGACGAATATTTTTTCTGTAATAATTCTTTAGTTGTTTAATAAATTATTGTAAACTTGAGTGACCAAGGTGTCCCTTTGTTAAAAAAAAAATATAGGAATGTTGTTGCTGAGCTTACATTTGCATGCTTTATTATTATATGTTTTTCGTATTAGGAGCTGGATGCATCACAAATGAAAGAGCTTCAGGCAGCATTGAAAGGTTTTACACAAAAGAATGAAACCCTCAAGCTTGAAACCAAGGTCAGATTACATGAATTCTGGTCACATTTGCATGTATGCTACATGTAGTACAGGTGAACTTTGTTGTGGCAAAGTGCCAAGGGAGTGTTTTAATCCCAATAAAAGGCTCTGTTAGCTGGCCTTCTTTTAAGCACAATGTTCTTAAAACACACATTGTTTTTCATCTTGTTTTGCTTCAATGTTGCGAAACAAGTTGCAGTACGTTCTGCTGTCCATTTTATTGTACCTTTATAAGCTACATGTAAATTATAAAGCAATAGTATTCGATCTGGTTTTAGTAAAGCACTTCTTTTGTGTTTTTCAGGTTGATCCCACAGTTATTGGAGGGATGATTATTGAAATTGGTGACAAACACATTGACATGTCTATGGCAACAAAGATAAAAAATATTACTAATGCTCTGCGAGCCAGTGTGTAATGTCTTTGGACTTGACTTCCAAGCTTTTGTGATTGTACAATAAAAGTTCCAGAGTTTTGATTGACAACTCAACTGTTGGTCTGGTGATGTATTACTTTAATTTTCATGTATAATAATATTATTAATTTTTAAATAAAGAAGATCATTGCAGTTACAGACGCAACTTTTGCAGTTGCAAAAAGGAAGCAATGATTGTCTTTAATGTAAATCTTCACCTGGCAATTACTTGTTATGGTTTTCATAATTATGTCATTATTTCATTGTCATCCTTTCACTGGTTTATAAAGAACCAACTCAATGATATGACCTGCACCCAGTTGGCTTCTTAGCTCAATTGGTAGAGTGCTGCACCGGTATCACAGAGGTAATGGGTTTGAGTCAATTTTTTTGAGGCTTCCTGGTTATTTATTTTTCTTGTTGTTGTTTGTAAATTAAAAGTCATTAATTTGTCTCAGTTTCTAAAAATGGCAGCAAGATTCATCTCGAGATATTTTTTACTACCCACCCACAGAGTGAGTATTGCACATGTAGGTCATGAACCATTCACAAACTTATCCACAATGGGGATTTTTCTGCAAGCCAATGGGCCTTCAAAAACACATGTAGTCCAGCAAGGCTTATGTCTCACCTTACTTCCTCACTCCCACTTGTATGGTGGTTAATAGAAGTCCCCGGCAGTAGACATGCACTAGGGACTGTCTAGGCTTATGTAACATTCTTACTGCAACATGTAAGATTACACAACTTGGACCTCTGTCTCCTGTGCATTTGACCTTGCTAGCAATTCTTATTAACCCTTTAGGCCCCAATATCCAGAAGCGAATTCTCCTGACTGATCTCTATACATTTCCTTAAAGAATGTGTTCAGAGAATTTGATGAAAGATCAAAGCATTTTCTCTTTGGTGATCATTTTATCAATTCTCATAACCTAATCTCTTGACAATGTATTGGTATCATTAGGAGAAAATTGATGTTGGTCACCATTGGGACGTAAAGGGTTAGTCAACCCTTGATATATTTAAGACTTTCCACTGTATTATGACCAATCAGATTGATGTTCATATGAGCAAAGCACAAAACGACAAGATAAATTATTACCATTACTTAAAAGGCTGTGCTGTTGCAGTACCTGGTGGCCCATGGTACCTTACCTTTGCTCTTGGGCTACAGGAAAATATTATGTTTTGGATTACACAGGTTCAGGGCATGGGGCTCTCTTCAATTTTTCTTAAAACACAGCCTTGCCACTGCTTACAATTAATTTGATTATCCATATCTTATTGGCTCTTTCGTTTTGATACAATAACATTTCTGAAGCAGATTCCTTTGCATCCTAGGCTTGTAGCTTTTTGGGTTTTTCAACACTTTTGCTACAAGTGAATCCACCCTTAGATTGACAGTTACAGAGTTTTCTCACTAATGAGTCAAATTTCTGTCAGCTGGAAATTATTATTTAGCATCGTTATCCCTCTGCGGGGTACTCATTAAGTGCTGGCAGCCGGCTAACAACCCGGCTACTTAGAGGTCTGAGCTTTCTTCTTTTGGGGGAAAATGGGTAAACAGAGGGAGTGAAAATTTCAAATTGCCTTCAGCACTCGATTGCCAAGCTACCTATCTTGACATCCTAGCTGTCTACTTAAAAACTTAATGAAAACCCTGCCTCTGGGAAGTGTAAAAAACATGCTAGCATTGCACAGCTGCTTTTATAAAGTGTGGCTTTATTGTTTTGTTCATTGATTTTACAAAACTACACAAATTTGCACTAAAATTAAACCTTTAAACATTTCTTAAAAGGATAACTGTACTTTTGATAGAATAAAATAATTATAGAATACCACTGATACAAATTTTGTAAATGGCACTATTCGGTGTACTATACTTCGTCTTATAAAGACTCCATTTTAGGGTTGTAAGTTCCAAACCAGGTTTTTTTGTATGTCAAAAAATACCATACAGTAATACTGTGCTTACTGTAATTTTCACTATGTCCAGTATTCAAACAAAATAATAATGATAATTTTCTTGTGTAGCCTTTGACAGTTTTTACGGATATTGAACATATAGTTGTGTGTTGTAACACTTTTGATGGTCTCAGCTTTGACTATTCACTATGCTAGCATAAAAAATAATGGCAGCTTAATTTTGCTTTAACAAAACTATAATTATTCCTTTTCTTGAGCATGAAATGTTGCATAACCAGAAATGGCAGGATATAAAGCTGATTTTTGAATAAAGAGCCACTTTTGTGACACTTTTTCTGAAAGTTTTCTCTAGTCCTTCAAAATTAAAAACAGGCAAATTATAAATCATTGAATCTTTGTAAATCTCTGCCTGTAACATTATTATTACATGGTGGTGTAATTACCTTTTCCATTAATTGATAAATTTTCATGTTTCAAAGTTATGATAATAAAATAATATTTATATTTTAACTGACTAGAATATTAACTTTCGTTGTTCAATTTTACCAATAATTATATCACAGAAATCCCCATAAGCTTTTACCATCTAGTAAAAAAGTTTTCTACAGTGTAAATCTCACTGATGATATTTTAAATTTCTTCTAAGTGTCTATCCAAAATAAATAATCTTAATTCATTAACACTCACTTTTCTTATTTAGATAACTCAGATCAATATTTTTACTTTAGAAAGAAAGAACGTTAGTTAACAAAGCAAAAATGCATATAACTTGGCATGACTAAAAACTCCTATACTTTTCTATTTATCTATAGTTCCTTTTCACAGCAGTTGCTTAGTGCCCTTCTTTCAATAAACTCATCTTCCATCATCCACAGGTGAAAACGCATTTCCTTCAGAAAATTCCGGAAACTTTCATGATGTTTCTCTGGAAAGTCTCTATCCATACGCGCATCATCTAGTTCAACTTCATCATTCTGCTTATTAGTGCGAAATGGCCCATAAGCATGAACTTGTAGCTCATATTTTGCTACATAGTGCCGCAACACAATGTACTGTTCTAGCCAATCATCTACTCTATCCGTCATAAGCTTTCGAGGGTCACTTAGCCGCTTGTGTTGTTCTTGAGTCAGTATGTCCTCCATCTGTTTTAAATGTCTTTTTAGTTTTCCTGTTCAGTTGAGAGGAAAATAATACATACACTGTAAGTGTTAGACATTGATAATTTCCTTTTTGCACTCTATTGTTGTGTTTAGCTTTCCTTTGTTTAATTGGCAGATACCGGTAATGCTAGATATCTAGTGGTAAACATCAACATCAATCATTTCCTGCCTGTGAGCTGTATGTTTCTCAACATGTCATGCCTGATGCAGTTTGTTGATGAAAATAGTAAACCAAAGCAGACTGTCTCACCAATGTTGTAACCAGTGTTGTAGCTATGATCCAGAGTCTCTTTGCTGGAATCACTGGCCGATATTGAAGTCTCTGGATAACAAAAAAGATTTTTATTAATAGTAAAAAGAATCTTCGGTAACTTTTTTGATGTTATTATCCAGTTCCATTTAGAGGAAGAAAAGTTTGGCAACCAAGTGTATAGCAGTACATGTGAGGCACCTTTTCTTTGACATTACATTTCAGTCGGCACTTTGCAGTATGTTAAGCCTCTAAGCATAGTTTTTCTTCTGTTCACATTACGTTCACATAGTCACACTGAATTTAAACTGTGATGTTAATACTGGGTAAATAATAATAATAATGATACATACCAGGGATCACTGAGTCTTCTGGGAGATACTCTGCCCCTCCTGTGCCAATGTAATCTAATGCTGGATCCCCTGACAACAATAACATATTAATCTGGTAAAATTCCAAGGAATGTTTACAAATTTAAATTATAATAATATTATAATACAAGAATATTGTGTACCAGTATAATGTTAGTGAAATAATCTGGAGATCTAACGGAAGTTGTACGTAAAATATACTCAGTCATGTAATACACAACCGCTGATTACCCAAAAAGCAGCTCATTTCTCTTAGACCATTTATTGTTCAATTATAAAGTAATACAGAGGGTGGCTTTGTGGTAGACTCCTATTCCAAATGTCCTGTTTTCTCTTTCTTTTGGCCAGGTGGACAGATAAGGATGACTTACGTACATGACTATCACATGCTAACATCTTAGTTTGTTAAAGTAACACCTGTTTTAAAATAAGTAAAGTTTTTAATAGTTCAGTCTTTATGAAAAACAACAACATATGGACCTCTGAACAAAAACCTAATGCCCAGTGTCCTTATAATCGATTGGATCACCTTAATTTATTGCGGGGCACTCAAGACAATCAACCAAATGGACACCATAAATTATCTAGACTTAAGCTTTGTCCAGGTCCAGGCAGAACCAAACAGAAACCATCCTACAGCTGTATATCTGTACACTTAGTACTATCCAGGCGATTAATGTTGCGCGATCATCAAGGTTGTCCTGCATCATAGTTTTTTCATAGTCTTTTTTCATCTTGATTGCCTGCGCACATTTTGAAATGACTTGGGGGAACCAGACAATCCCAAAATTTTTTTAGAAACCAGCCGAGAAGTAAAGGGAAGATAACAAAAAGGCTGCCTCACCATACTGTAACGACTTTTTAACCAGTATTCTAAGCACTTCCCACTCTTTGGGTTGGTAACCAAGATTAAAACAAATCCGCAACATTAATAAAGGAAGAAGCCGCGGTGATGCAAGAAGCTAGTGAAAGAAAAGAAAAACATTTAATTAAAAAACAGGTTTACTGAGTAAATGAAAGGGTCAGAATTTAATGGCTCTAGGTAATGTAGTTGTCAACTTTTTTGTCGTATGTAGAATTGCATTAAGTTACGAGGGGTCAATTTAATAGAACATTTACAAGCGTAATTTATAAAGTATACGTAGCTAATGTAAGGGGGTGTAAATGAAATTCTCTCCGTGGTGGGGGGGTGGATAGTTTCTGGAACCACACATGCCATTGACAAAAAAAAATTTTATTTCTTCGGCCTATTGCAGAATGAATGGATCAAGTGCCGTAACCTTTAATGTTAGCTTATATACTCTTACAAGAGATTATCAACCCACCCCACCCCCAACCCCACTCTCGCTGGTGCTGCTCTGAATCTTTCAAAAAATAAATAATGATTTTGTTTTTTCCTTGGAATATTGCCCTCCATTACACAGCATTTAAGTGGGGGTAGTTGCTTTACTCGATGTGGCAGTGCATGAGTTGTTGAACTTTTTACTGGTAACCGAAGTTACCACAGCTTAATCTAAGCAGGACGTAGCTAGCACTTCCAACCTTGGAATTAACATGACTATAAAGCAACCTAAGGTAATAGTAGGCAGCTGTTTATTTGGTAAACTGCTTAGGACTCAAATGTTTAAGTAGAAGATGATAGACTTACCTCATCAACGGTTCCAAATATTGCTTGTGAGAGGAATATCAGAAGAGACCTAGGGTAGCCATATCTTTTACATATGTCTGTACAGCTCATCCAGTGGGCAGTATTATTGACACGAGGTGGAATTTTAGCTGGAAGGGCAAGCAGTAAATCTTGAGCAAGAGCTATAGTTTACTGCTGATTGGGAAACAATACCTTATAATAACAAATACTCCATAGTCTGAAATGTCATACGTCTCCACCCCCCAACCAATGGGGGTGCAGGGAAGAGAAAGTTTGTCTCCCCTGTACCCCCCAAAGGTTAGAAGGTGGAGACCTATGACATTTCTAGACCATGAGCGGTCGTCCTTTGTTCCTCAGTGCCATGCAGGGCGCGCGAAAAGTTAAAATTATGCAAATTACTTGCAAAAAAGGAGGAGAGATTGGGGCGAGAGAGGAAAAAGGATGACGGCAGAGGTTTTAATGTCTTTTGAATTACCCATTTCAGCAAAACGAAAATTCCGATTGGTCAGCTACTTGTCAATCTGTCAAAAATTCAATCTGTCAAAAAAAGCCTCAGTCTGCAGGGAGTCCACTTTTCGCACGTCGCTTTGAGATAAGATGGGGGACAGAAAAGATGTTTTGAAACGTGTTTGCGAGGAAAAGTTAGACAAGAAGAAGCCGTTTTATCACTTTTGAGTGGAAAGGACTTATTTGCTTATTTTTTCTTCGCTTGAGCTCCGCCCTCGTTCCTTGCGGCTTTGCCGCTCACTCCCTACACGTTATCGCACTTAACAGTGACACTAAAGAAAAATAAGAGACAGCTTGCAGTCTATGACAATTCAGACTAAGGTTACTATAAAAAATAATTTTTTTATGTAAAGTGGTGTTTTCTCCTTACTCAAGGGTTAAGATAAGAAACAGTGGGCAAACTTAAAAGTCAGCATAACTCATTAAAATGATGTGAAACCGTGACTTTGAGTTTTCATGGTTACAATTATATTTGCATAAGTGTGTTTGGAAAATTTAAAGGTCTCAAGCAACTGTTGCCTGTTGTAATTGACAAACTTATCCTTTATTTCACAAGCAATTACAAAGTAGTAAATCTATATGTTGATATTTTGGGATTTTCTAAATTAAAAAAAACAACACTTACGTTCAAATATGTGGCTCAAAGCTTGTCCAAAGCACAGAACAAGCACCCACAATGCTGGGTTGTAGTACCAATACATGAGTTTAAAAGCATTAAAATACTTCAAATGAGGTGCAAGTTCAGTGTGGTTCCAAGACTCATTACAGCTGGTGTTTTCTGGTAATGAATTCTTCACTGCCATTTGAAAAGTTATGTTTGCGAGAATAAAAAGAATTCCCATGGGTAACAGCATAAATAACTGAAAGAAATAGGCCAGCACAACTTATTATTAATTTATTTTGATTTTTAAGTATTTAATTTACATTCATTTCCAAATTAGCAGAGTAAAGAAATTTTCCTAGCTAACATTTTGTTTTCTATAAGTGAGACTGTTATCTTGTGAGATTATTTTTCACATCAACTTTTTCATCTCTAGGTGAAATACTGTGTGTTTCATTTCAAATAAAAACTTCCTACTTACAGCAGAACTTTTACATGCTCCCACTTAAGTCCATTTAGTTACCTAGATCCTGTACCCTGTGAGCAGGTCAGGTTTATGTCTTGGATAGCTTTTAGCATTTACAAAGTTGTTTGCATGGCTTGTCTGTCACGTGGGCATAAACAAACTCAAACCTCATGACAGACAAGCCAGGTGAACGACCTCGTAAACGCTAAAGCCATGCAAGAGAGAAACCTCTGCTTGCAGGGTACCCAAAAGTAGATTACATGAATATCAGAAAAATAGGCCTAAATGTATACATACCCCTAAGAGATGAGTCTTCGATACAAAACCCCATATTGTGTACCATAGCATAAAGGCACAAGCCATGACAGCAGCACCGTTGAGAACAAGTACTTCTGTGTTAGCTAGTGTGTAATTTCCAAAAAATCTCCATTGTGCAAAGAATGTCATCATCATCATCACAATTAAAGGCTGCATGTGAAAAACACATTATTCAGCATGAATTTAGTTAATGCAATAATGTCAATAGCAATGACGTCGGGTAGAAGGTGCTGTTCTTTTGCTTAATATTTTAACATTGGATAAATCATGAGAAATAAATAAATATTACAATTATAATGAAAGCATGATTAGGACTGAGTGACAGCATAACTGTTCTTTGTTAAAAGTGAATAATTTTTGTACAAAAAGAGCAAAAATCTCTCTATGTAAAAGGTCACATATTTTTCTAAGAAGATATAGCAAACATAGTGACACAGAGGTCACTGACATGGGAGAATATTACTGCTAGATTTCTTTACCTCAATTTTATTTAAATTATTTTATACTAGATATATGTTATCGCATAAACCTCGTGAAGCTTATTAAAAGATGGTCAGCAGTAACAATAAGGGGAACAAGGGAAAGAGAAAAATGTGATATTAAAGAAAACAGAGCAAAAAACCTAAAAGGAAGAAATATATTGAAATGTACAACAAAGAAAGAAATTTCGATCCATCCGGATTCAAACTTGCAACATAACCACCAGCTGGTAGCGTATTAACCCCTATACCAATTATTGGGCTACGCTGCCACTCTGCATTATGAACTTTAAACCATACTTGTCTGTCATAGACAACATTTGAAGGACTGGTGGAGCTGCTTTTCTCAAAAATTTAAAGATGCATTTGGGGAAAATAAGTTTAGCCACTTATTTCAAAGCCATTGTGCATTATTTTGGTCTGAATTCACTCTTGGATTCAACGGGCGATCGATGTATGGAGCTGAAACCATAAATCACATGAATCGGCGGGCAAAAACCAAAAGAACCAATTCATTGTGAATTCAACGATATAGTTTTCTGGAAAAAGCAAAGTTTTCTCGGTAAAAAGCCAAACTGAAATGCACTTTCAACAAAAATACCTAGCAATCGAAAGTAATTGCCAAAAGCATTTCTTGAGTGCCAAGAGGGCTGCAAAAACAGTCAAAACAATGCTGTTTGAGTTTCTTGATGTCATTACATTGTGGACATTATTGGATATATACTTGTAAGTACGATGGGCCAACCGAGATTGCACTTGGAATTAATTTTAATTTTCTAATTAATGTTCTATTATTTAAAAACATACTGTACCATGAAAATGTAATGGCCAAGCTTTGTTAGGAATCGGATGTGGAAAATCTCCGCCAAATACAGCTGGTAGTAAAGACTCAGGCCAGTAAAATTTGTTAATGGTGCTACAAAAAATCTGGCCCAGAATCTGGTGAATGGGTTTCTTGCCCGCACGAATCTGTCACAGCATAGGCGTCTCCAGCATGACATCTCCCAACTATCTGGCCAGTAGCGTTTAGCTGGTGGCTAGTGGTGAAATGAAATTTCCTTAATTTAATTACTGTATATAATCAATAAGTGTATATATTGCATGCTAACATTCCCGATTATCGTAAAATTCCAGGCTGAGAATCTCCCATGGGAGATACACTGGGCAAAACCTTGCAGTCTCCTTTAACAAGTCATACTCCTCAACAAATTATTGTGACTCTAGAGAACCAAAGTTTAACCCCAGATATTTCATTCATTGTTTGTTTGCTTTTTTTTTCATTTCAAGATTTAACATTTCAAGATACTATTTCTGGCAGCATTTTCATGCATTTTTTCACCCTTGGGTAATAACTATATATTTTCTCATGATCATGAATGAACTGTGGCCAATGGTGTGTAACTATAATTTGCTCAATACAATAATTTTATAAAAATTAAGGGTTATCAGAGGAAAGAATAGTGGCCAGCAACAGTTGAGATTAAATATTTGGCTTCCAGTCCCTCATGCAGCCTTATCATATAATAAATAGTTTCTATTGTACATTATAAGCTTTAACGTGTGAATAGCCAGATCAGGCCCATTATTTTTCTGAAAAATGACTAAAAATTAGTATGAAAATATGGAAATAATTACCTGTATCAGAGGTTGACTAAGCTCTTCATCAGTAGCTGTTAAAACCTCTACACTTCCACTCGCACCAGGTGCATCTACTTCATCTTCTCGCAGTCCAGACCCCCGAAGACTACGTCGCTGACGCCCCATGGAACCATATGTTCCTTCAACAAGTCTTGATGATGTGCGAAGCCGAAGGTCATTTCTTATGCCTTGGTTGTGAACAATTAACTGATCCCACAGTGGATCTAGCAATCAAGAATTCAAAATTAGGTGCTGTTTACATAGAGAGTCCTAGGAAGATCCTAAAAAGCGGATCATCCTTAAGTAGTGCCTTATATTTTCTTCATCCAGTTTACATGCAAAAAGTCGTACTGTCTTGTCACTTGCGCTAGGATCTTTCTGATCTAGTACTAGGATCTTCCTAGCTGAGAGGTTGGAAAATTCTAGCACAATGTGAACTGCTTTCAACAGGAAGATCCTAGTACTACAGACAAACCAGATAAAAAAGGTGGCAGTTGGTTTAGCAGGTAATCACGGCAATAAAGGCTGACCGTTTTGTTAGGTGTTACCATGAGCTGATAATTATATTTATTGTGGTTATTCTGCTGAAAGGTAGTCATAAAACCAGTAAGGAGAGCAGAAGGGGCTACATTGCGTTTTTGCTATTGTTGCCCGCCATCACTAATTCCCTCTCTACTTGGTGCCACAAAATTTCCTCATGTAAACCCAGTAAAAAGCTATTCTACCTTCTGGGATCTTCCTGGTGCTAGGATCTTCCTACGTCCATATATATATAAACAGCCCCTTAGTGTTAAGGAATAATAGAAGGAGGGAAAGGTTGAATGAAAAGGAAAGAACTGATTTCACTTAAACCCTGGATGAATTAAAGGTTGAGTAAAGCAAAATGCTTACAATGATAAACCCTGTTCTTCTGGTCATATTCAAGATCCTCTTCAGTAACCACACCCAAATATCGACCACGATTGTCGCTGTATGGCACAGCAAATTTCACCAGTCCACCAGGGTGTTCCAGCACTTCATCTGTCATTAGAATTCTTGCTTCTGATCGAAAGCTTGTACAGTCCTGGTCACGTGGTTTAATCTTTTTCAAGAATGCTTGGAGTCCAGCTAGCTTTATCTGTGAATAGAGAGGCATAAATTACTTATTTATTTTCCCTGCTACAATGTCATGATATAAGCAGCATTTAAATTTTCCTGTACTGCTGCAATTTAACCCCAAACTCCAAAATCCTGTACTTTCAGATTTTATTAGGGTCACTGGTGTCATTTTTCTGGCCTTTCACCATATGGCGAAGATTTTTCCATCATCACAGCCATAATTTTATATTAAGCAACTGCATTATTGAATCAATCTTCATCAAAAGTCCACATTAATTAATATTTGGGGTCCGGGTCAGTTGTGTCTGTATGGGGTAGTGGAGTAATACAGTTTGATAATGGAGTAGTAGGTGATAATGTAAATAAAAGAGATTCTCCAGTTGTCAAAATACCTTTAGAGGTTAAATTGGCACCTTTGACAATAGTTACAGGGATGTGAGATGACCTTTTCTAAGTTAGAAATGTTTTACCCATACACCAAGCAAATTAGTCGGAAAGAGCAACAACAACAACCACAACAACAATCTTTTTTTCCTTATCATTAAGTTTTACAAAAGTAGCTTGGCCAGGTTGCATAAAGCCTTCTTAAGATAAGAGGGCTCTTAACTTTTGTTCTAAAACAGTATAACCCATTGTTTTGAAAAAATAGTTGTGAGTTCCCTTAATCTTAAGATGTTTTATGCAACCCGACCCTGGCCTGCAAGTAGCTAGAGCTAACCTTGGCTGGCCAGTCAATTTACGTGCAGGGAATGTTTAAATTTTATTCTTTTAATTTATGTTCATGTTTGTCTATATATAAAATGATACCGAAAGATTATACAAAGGGAAGAAATAATTAACAGGACATAAAGGATTTACTGTAAATAAAGTTTATTGGAAAAATCTGGTATACTCTCTTTACTCAGGATTTTACTTTAGAAATGATCTGGTGTATATCAATGAACCAATCTACCTCTTTGAAAATACTCAGTAGCACACTTATAAATTCCTTTTTTGAATGAACTGATAGCAATAATAGACATTTAATTACGTACTTGTTTGCTGTAAATATTTTCTCTTAGTGTTTATTTAGTAAAAAGTGAATCAGTAAACTTGCCTCGTACTCCTCAACATCATGCCTTGATTGATGGCGTTTAGGCCAAACTCGTCCTGCAGTTGCCCCGCCTAGTGGGTGATCCATGTTCTGTGGTGGGACTGGCTTGAATTGGTCACCAAAGTCCACAAACAGTACCACAGTATCACCAATGTCAGCAAAGTTAGGAAAATGATTGCCTGAAGCGCACATGCGCACCAAGGGTTTGGTGGGGTGTGGAGTATTGGCTGCCTGAGTAGTACAGCAGCTTCCCATGATTGTAGTTCTTGTTAAAGTAGTTGTTCACTGTAGAATGTAGCAACTAAATATAAGTCTTCCAATAAGAACGGGGGAAAAAGTCTATGATGGGGGGCAGGGAGTATTTTCCAGGTGTGACTCTTTGGTTTGCTCATCAGAAAATTTGAATTTTTTGAGCAATTAGGTGCAGTGCACGTCAACCGGAAGTAGTGTTTTTGCCTCTTGGACAGTGATTTACCCAAATTTTCAAGTAAACCTTCTCTTTGAGAAGCTTTAAAAACTTAGTAATACTAAGCAATACAAATTTGGCAGCGTCAAGGCATGGGAATGAAATTAGTCCCCAAGAACAAAATTGGTATTTTTCTTTAGCCATTTTTCACAATAGATGGTTTTGAGAGTGAAGTCATCAAATAAAGTCAAAATAGCGACGTTTTACGAATTATTATTTAAACTAGGTTGGAGATAAACATAAAATAAATCTTTCTACAAGTTTCTATTCCCGTAGCATGTTTCATTTCGAAAATACAGCAATTTGAACTTTCGAGTTTTCACAGTGCGTGACACCAAAACAGGAATGCTGTCTCGTTGAAAAAGTCTCTCCTCTTGATTTTCAGCAGTATAACCATTTCAAGTACAGTCGACTCTCTCTTAACGGACACCTCTATAAGACGGACACCTCTGTAAAACGGACACGTAGAGTTGGTCCCTGAACTCCAGATGTTTTTGTTGATTTCCGGCGGCCTTATGGCGTCTCCATACAAAGCTCTACAAAGATGCGTGAAACGTTTCGGCAAATGACTCGGAAACTGTGGGCCACGAAGACCCGAGACTTGGAAAACTTGTTTATATATTAGCCTTTTATAACATTTCATTTCCTTGACTTTTTCCACTGAACGGTTTCCAATTTATTTTTTTGTTGCGTGACAGTGAAAACGATCTATTCAAGTCATTAAGATACAGTATTGCATGACATTTATTTTGCAACACGCCTAAAACGCTTCGGGTCATTACCTTGGGTCGTACTAAGACAGTAATATAAGTATACATCCGGTTAACAGATGCGCCATGTTATCATTTCATTTTGAAGGTTGTAAAAAAGCAAATTGTCATTTTCAGCCTTTTTCTGCCGTAACACACATTCTTGACATTCATGTCACGCTGTTATAAGCAGCATAATAGCAGCCGTGAGGATGTCGACATCAAGCAAAGTTTTTTTTACGGAAATGTGCACTGAACAGAAGGAAAATGTCGAATTCAACTTGCTTCTTTTCGATTATATGCTTTAAGATTAAGCGACATAGGCTTAGGGTTGCATTTCGTTGCAGCTGGCTTTACCCTAAGCTTGCTCTAAAGTTGATCACTATATTACATAATAGTTGATCTTTTCGACCATTCTAAAGGGACATTTTTTCTCTGTCTTCCTTCGCTAACCGCACTATTTTGATATTGATGGTGTTAAATTGTCACCTGGTACCGTAACTGTGCAAAGATGCCTTCAAAATATTCAGTAAGTACCTTAATTTCCTTACCTTGAGTTGGAATATGCATATACTTTGATTCGTTGTCAATTGTAAGTCCAATGAATGGTGCAATGAAATCGTTGCACGGATTTTAAGGTTGGCTCACTAGGTTCGTGGAAAGACAGGAAACTCTGGGAAAACTAACCTATACGCACCCATTCATATAATGCCGCCAGATAGATATTTGATACTGCAGTCACGAGATTAGTTTCTGGGAAAAGACCCTTTCATCATTCACAGCATATATTACAACATCATAACTTCCGGGCTTCTAAAATGCAAAAGGCGGTAAATTGCTCATAGCATTCTGGTCACTTTTTAAATGGCCCTTTCAAAAAATCTTATTGTGAGTGCTTCTTTGCGTGAAGCTGTTATCACTAAGATACTTTTCATGTATTAATTCGTTTTCATGCTGTTTTTTAAACTATACTAAGTGATCTGATGTCACGCCGAGTGTAGTCTACACAGGGGATTCCCCAAGATGTTTGGCGTGGATTGTAATGTTAATCATCCCAGAATACTCAAAGAGAAGGTAAATACCAAATCACGAGTTCTCTTAGCAAAGTGCTGACATATAATAAATTAAAAATAGGAAGTTGTTGATTTTTTTTAATCTCGGTTAAGCCATGTCCAAGTGGATGTCAAAGGACTGCTCGCACTCCGCTATGAAGTGAGAAATCGAAATTAACCATGCATCCTTAGTGTTCAGAAAACATCATTCAGAATTCTTTATAAACGCTTTTTATATAGTTTCAACGTATTTTTGCACAGAAGGTCATTAAAATTAGCCTTTTAATGCAGGGTTTCACTGCACTGCACGGCATGCACAGACTTCGTTGCGTGACCAAGGTGTCACGGCAAGGATTTTCCCAAGATCGTCTAAGACGTTGCAAATCGTTTGTTTTTAGATCGCCCAAGAAAGGGAATCATCACGAAGTCACGGGTGGTTTCGCCGATCAAGAAATCATTTTGGTAAAAATAGAATCTGCAGGATGGCTACTACAGTTCTGGAGACACCGTATTTTCCTCGTAGAGGCGGCGCCCACGCTCTTAAAAAAAGAAAACAAACGCCCTGCACCGCCCTCTTTCTCGGACAAAGTAGGCTCAAATAAGCCCCCCTCCCCATCCCTGCCTTATGCATGCTAAAAACCTTCTTCTGTTTGATAAACAGAACATATATCCTTTTGCCTCAAAAGCGTTTTTTGAGCGGTTTTGAAGGAGTCTGAGTTCGCCGTTGATTGTTCGATTCCTTATTATAAGGAACAGTCCTCGGCGAACTCTAACTCCAGAAAACTCCTTCAAAATCGCTCAAAAAACCGCTTTTGAGGAAAAAGGACGACTATATACCACAAGTAAGGTAATTCAACGTTCATTTATCATTGACTGTTTATATACATAGTTAGCGATATATCGCTATAGGTAAGGCAAACGGTAAATCCAGTACATTTACTATAAAATAACAATCGGCTACACAAACGGATTGTGTGGGAGCCCAGTGGTCTGTTGCTTTATAAAATGACTTTACGTTTTCTATGACTTTAGCGGCACAATAAACCATAGGTTTTTAACCAATCAGAACGCGCGTACTATCTTAGTTATTTTATTTATAACATTGAAGGCTAGCAGTTTTCAAAATGGCAGCCAGATTTGTCGATGTTCGGAGTCGGAAATTCATCAATTTTAAAGAAAATGCTGTCCCTCAAAACAACTGGTATGTTTGTTTACATTTTTTGCTTCAAAGTGTCGGCAACTTTTAGTAACTTTTGCGAAACATTTTCAGGGGTGTCTGTTGTGAACAAGGGAAGACGTTTGCGTGGTTAATCACCAAATCTCTTACTACTACTACTACTACTACTACTACTACTACTACTACTACTACTACTACTACTACTACTACTACTACTACTACTACTACTACTACTGCTACTGCTACTGCTACTGCTACTGCTACTGCTACTGCTAC